AGCTTAGAAGTTGAAATAAAAACAGAATTGCTATTTCAAAGATGAGGAAAATGCAGCTTGCCCATGGAAATCTGCTGGGGAAAGGACTGAGGATTAGAGCAGGATCCTATAGCCCCATTGATTAGCCCCACCACTTGTCTCTCCAGAGATACGGAGAACATATGTGACTTTATCAGGGAACTCTCTCTGATTTTCATAAACCTACAACAGTAACCATGCCCTAGGTATCTCCATCCCCCGCCCCCAAAACCACTTTCCTGGGTCTGCTGCCAGGCCCATCTTCTTAGAGTTCAGTATGGATTACCTCATTCTCTTCCCCCTAGCATCTTTGCTAGCTCCACACAGCCTATAAATAAAGTGCGGCACCATAGACTGGCAATCAGACCCTCTGCCTGAAGCCCCATCCACTACTCAACCCTTGTTCCCACTTCACTATGTTAATTCCTGCCCTTTATAGTCCAACCAACACCTCAGCAGGGCCAGGCTAGGGGTGAGCTGGGACACAAAATTTAAGGGTTCACCAAAGGACTCAGTAATCAAGGTTAACATTTTAACAAACAAAAAATGCCAAAAACGCATGATGAAAAAAATACCAAAATTTCAAACAAAGACAGGGTCAGCATTAACTGGTTTTTCCTTTTGCGTCACACTCCAAAATACTTTCTAGGGACGTCATTACTGATTCTACAGATCCCCACTCAGATCCCTTTGCTACTGATCTTTCTCAAAAGTTAGTTCTCACATCCCCTTTCGACAGGAGTAACCTCTCTCTTCTTGAATACTCGAGCATTTACATGTGCTCTCTACTGTCAGGAAAACCTATTTCCCCTAGAAACTGGTAGCACTTTGAAGGCAGTCTGAATCATCTTGGATCCTTTCCAGCGCCTTTCCAAGCCACAGTGGGCACTCAGCACCTCTTTGCTAACGGAATGCAGAATCACAGCTCTCAAACCCATGTGTCTGTGGAGCTCAGCCAGAAGGAGACCTAGACGTGTTCTGTTAGGTCCAGAGTGCTTGGAAAAGGTTTGAGTTTGTTACTAATACTTTTAAATAAGGATATTTTACATGAACAAAAAAATCCAGCTATCGTTTCTTGAAAAATCAAAAAATCTTACAAGTCTAGGTCCAACTTTTTTTTTCTAGACCTTTTTCTTGCCTATTTAGGATGTCCTATACGATGTGAATACAAGAGGCAAGGGCACGTATTTTTGCACTGTGGCTGAATTTACGGGAAAGCATTCAGGTCCACCCTCTTGTCTGATAGCAATGGGCATTTACAGCCGAACAATGGCCCTGCCTTTGAGGCTCTCTCCAGCTCAGCTCCTACCCAGTTCACTCGTTTGCATCGCCAGCCAGGCCCCATGAGCTCTTCTTGAGTTTGAGACCCTAAGCATAAAGGAATGCGTGCACCATCTAAAAACCCATCTGCTGGGTCCACTCGTTCTTTCCAGGAGAATAAATGTTTTCTGGTTGTCCTTTCCAAAATAGTCTTACAGAGAGGCTTACAGAAGCAGCCCACCTTCCAAGCCCACAAACTTCCCACAGGCCGTGAAACTCGCAGTGGCCTTGACTCACTGACCAGTTTCTCCCTGGTCCTTTGCTCCAAGCTCCAGCCCCTACCCTGGCCCTGCCCTTTCCCCCTCTTCCGGGCGCTCGGTAGCCTGGGGCGCGTCCAGGCCCCCAGCAGCTGCTCTTTGCCCCGGGTTAGGGCGCTCGGGCTCGCCCACGGCGGCACTGGGCATGCTCAGAGGCAGCCGCGGGGGCAGGTTCGCTTCGCGGGCGCTGGCACTCGGCGGCTGGCGGGCGCACAGCTGCAGCTGGAGCTCGGGCGCCCGGAGTTAGAGTTGCCTGGAGTTTCCCCCCGACCCCTCCCTCTTCGCGCGCGGCAGCGGGAGCCCGCGCGGGAGCCGCGAGCGGCGGCGAGCCAGCACCCGGGTCGGCTGAGCCTTGTTCGGAGCCCGGAGCTCCGCGCGGGGCAGCCCCCGGGGAGGAGCCTCATCGGCTGGGACGCGTGCCGCGCACTGGCACGGCCGGGACACGAGCCAGGCTGCACGGTAGGGCCCGGGCGTGGAGACCCGGGTGGGCGAGGCGGAGGCCAAGCAGGGTCTGGGGGATGTGGTTGCAGCCGCCGTGGCTGTTGGGGCGCCTGGCCCTCTGTCCGATGCGGCCGGCCAGGGTAGGGACCTGGCTGCGAGGCTGGAGGAGTAGGCAGACGCCCAGAAAGATGCTTTCAAGTTGGCGGGTGGCTGGAGAGGGGGCTGCGCGACCCGGCGCAGCTGCTTTGTGCCAGCGGAGAGGGACTCAAGGTCCCAGCTTCGCTCCCAAACTGGGACCCAGTGTGTGGGCAGGATTGGGCAAGCCGCGGAGCGGAGCAGTTTTCTCCAAGAAAAAGTTGAGGACGAAAGCCTTCTTTCCTCACTGCCCCTGCGGCAGGATGGGCCCGAGGGTGCCTCCTTGGGACCCCTAATTTGGGGAAGTCAGTAGGGCGCTGCATCCCTAGGCTGAGCTCCCTTACCCCTGGAAGAAACCCGCGAATCACCCCTATCTTTGGAGTCTTCTAGGGAAATCATTGCTTCCAAAACTGAGGCGGGCTTTTCTGGCGGGCAAGGCTTCCTTACCCCAGGGCGCTCAGCACCGGGCAGCGACCCCTCTCCAAACCTCAGAGGTGGTCAAGGGCGCCTGGTTCTGAATTCGCACTGGCGTTGCACGGCAGAATCCTCTCTCCCTCCCTCCCTCCCTCCTCCCCCCCATCTCTACACACACACACACACACACACACACACACACACACGGCGGGCAACGTGGCTGGAGTAAGTGGATAGCAGGAATTTCCCTCTAGCCTTCCCCAGGGTTTAACCCCACCCTCCTATCCCACCCCATTCATCTCCTCAGAGCGCACTACCTGCAGGTGGACAGTTGGAATGACATTGTTTCTTAGGCGAGGGTGCCTGGGGTGTATCTGCCTTTGGTTCAGGCACCAGGACTTCAAAATGAATCCCTCTCTTTCTAATTTGCCTCCTAAGGGACTAGGTGGGAAAGAATAGGGTCGGTGGTTCCACGGGAGCTTCCACCTCCTTCCACCGGCTTCTAAATCGCCGTCCGGGCGACCCCAGGACCCTGGGACTGGCATTGTGCAGATGGCAAGGGTGTGGAGGATGAGGACGTTTTCCCCTGGCTCCACTTTTTTCACTTCTTGTTTTGAGTTTTGGGGTTTTGCCCGCACGCTAGTCAGAGCTGCGCTGTCATAACCCTGGGGGTGGAGGAGCTCCAGCCGCGGCAGTGAGCCGCTGTTCGCCTCGGAGGCTGCTAGTGGGAACCGGTCCAGAAATGATTATGCAGGCTAGAAATATAACTCTCCCTTTTTTTTCCTTTTTGGCTGAACACCTTGGCTGTTGAGTTTGTGTGTTAAGTTCTTAAAGGGACACCCTCACACTACTCAAGTCCCGGGTCGTAGGGGCTCACCATTTCTGCTGCACGTTTTCCTCTGATTTTTCCTTGGGGCAGACTGCTTTGGGGCAGATTTCCAGCTGTGGGGATTACATGGTGTATAGCTACACGGTCTAGAGTCAGACAGACAAGAGTTTCAGCTTCACAGCTGATGACGGTGCTGATGGACAAATTACTGGCCACTCTGAACTTTAGTTTTCTCTTCTGTCAAATGGGGATAATTGTGGCCTTATCTCCCTTCCCTCCATTCCAGATTTGTTGTGAAACTTGGATGAAATAATGGAAATTAAAAGTGCTAAGAAATTTTAAAGCACCATTCAAGTCTGAGGTATCATCTCTGTGCTCTTTGCTCAATTATTTGAATTAATCCTTAATTATAACAAGACAGCTGAGTCTTTTCCCTTCTATCCAGTCCTCCTCACCAAGTGGTTTAGTTACTTGAGTCTTTGAAAGTCACTATTTACCTGTTTTCCTACTCTATGCTGAAATTCATCTCTCTTTTGATTTTGAGTGTTAGAGCTCCAGTCCTCATATTTATCTGAGGGAGGTAGCAATATGAAGATCAGGAGATGACCAGGTTGCCTTATCAGTGTTCATGGTCCTGGCCCCCAGAATTGGCACATCAGCAAGGCCTTAGCTTGAGATGTGAGGTTGATGAAGAAGTCAGCAGAACCTGGGAGCTCTCACGTGACCTCTAACAGTGACCTTGAACTGAGGATTCAACCCAGGTTGGGTGAAATCAGTCTATGAGAGTAAAAGTCAATGCTAGTGAAAGGCGAGAACAGGTGAGTTTGTCTGGGACTCAGTTCATAAGGGTGTGAGCCCACGCCCAGGCTACTCCAGGTGCTGGGTCTTCCCTAATCGTAGAGCAGCAGTTCTCACATAAGAGATCAGAAACACCTGGGGGGCTTGATAACCACAGATTAGACACTGCACTGCCAGAGTCTAATTCTCTAGCTCTAAGGGGGAGGTCTAAGCATTTGCATTTCTAACCACAGTAGAACCTCTGTAAGGTGATCACCCAAGGAACTGGTCAACATATGGAGGTGGTCAACATAAGGAACTAGGCCTGATTCATACATGTAGTGCATGGACTACCTTATTTCTTTCTTTTGGGGACCTCAGACGTTTAAGCAAAGAAGATTACATACAGCTCTGACAGCTTGAATCTTATAGTTGAATCATTTAGGAGCAAGTCTGAAAAGAACTTGCATTGTTTCCTTCATCTTCTTTGAATGGACAGCTTATCCAGACCTTGGGGTAGGTGTGTGTGTGTGAAGTACACCCCCTTACAGATACACGTTGGTAGTTAGATCTGGCAAAGACTTTTTGAAGGAAGGTGACATTGACAGTGGCTGTGACCCTCTCTCTCTGAGGGGGTGGAAGGCCAGCTTGCAGGGACAGCTGTACAGTGTCAGTGTGGTGTCCTGTGTAATTTAATTTACCATCAAGTACTATTTTGACTCAACCCAATCTTAAGCTCTTTTTGTATTCTCCCAAATCGCGGTTCTGTGCTGAGAGCTTGCTATGACTTATTACGACCTAGATTGTGGCCTTGAATTTTAACTGCTATGCATCAAAGAGGCTTTGGGAACCTGCTTGAGTCAGGAGGGTTTCTGAAATAACATCCTAAGGAAGAAATAAAGTTTACATAACGTAGCACCCAAACAGACTAGGTGTTCGAGGAGGGCAGTCAGCACTTGAACTGGTGTTGTGCCAAATGGGATCCCAGCTGACCATCATGCTTTATCTAAGCCAAACATTTGTGCTTTGTTTTAGTTTTTGTTTTAGTTTTAAAATGATTAGCACTAGAGAAACCTATCAGTAAATCAAAAACCTATTCAAAAACTCAAGTGTACCACTTAATGTTCTAGTAGATAAAACTTCAAGGCCCAAACCTGTCTTCCTGACAGCAATTAGCACTGGGTGAAGGAATAGCCCTCAGGTTGTCATTCTTAAGATTCGTTAGCTGATTTAAATGTTTTCTCCCACTTAATATAAGTAGGGAACATTTCTATTTTAAAATTCCTTCCCATAACTTGATGTTTATATTTTGGGTGTTACCCCGACTTTTTGCTGCTGGGATTTTTTTTTTTTTCCCGGTGTGAGGGAAACCTCTTATCACTGTTGTTCACTTTTTTCAGTACATGGTATCTTTACTCCCTTTAATAAGTTTGTTGTGAGATAGTTTTATGACACTTTATTTCTCTTTGGTCATCAAGGCTGTTTTCACTGGGTCATGAAGAGTCAAGGCAATTCCTAGAACACCCTTCTCAGCATTCCTAGAGGGAGCATTTAAACTAAAACCCCGGTTAAACTGGACTAGCTCAATTCTAAAATACATGTTTCTCTCCCATTTCACAAATCCACATGGATCTTAAAAACTATGAACACATTTAATGCATGGTTTCTTTTTTGTTTTCTTTTTCTATAACCTGGCTTGTTTATAATGGAGTGTCTACCAATTGATGGCATCCTGAAATAAAGCAACTTTAGTTTCCTGCCCCGGTAGAAGGTATGGTTTCTACTCCATGCTGCCAGCTGATAGAATTGAATGTCAATTAAAAAATAATAATTGAATGGCAATTGAATTAGCTCAGCAGGTCCCACAGTATGTGGAAGAAGGCTGTTGGTGTGGATGTTAATAGGTGTGCTCTTTGGACAAACCAATTTGGGAAGCACTGCCTATTATCTTTTCCTCTTACAGAGATTTTCAACATGTGCATCATTATATTAAAGACCCTGAGAAGCCTGACAGTTAGCAATATCAGCAACAATAACTTGTTTATATTTATTCAAGTCAATGCTTCTCAGAACACTGAACATTTTTAGTGTTACATCTGTATCTTTCAGGTCGCCATGATTAAATTAGTACATTGTGACAATTCTGATACAGGCAGTCCCTGGCTTAGGAATGAGATAGGTTCTGTAGGTTGTTTTTTAAACAACATAATGTTTATGGTTTATTTACGTACCAGGCAAGGGAAGCTGCTTCATAACAGAATCACAGGCTGATTGGCCAATTTAAGGGTAGACCAGAGGCTGTAGGAGATGCCCCGAAGTGACATAGTTTAGTAGGAGGAATACGAGTAGACAAATTTCATTTTAATCACTGTATAATTAAATACTGTAAAAGATACAAAACAAAACATCAAATCTGGAGGAGGGCGGGGAAATTTTCAGAAGGAAAGATGATCTTTTCAAAGGTCATTCAGCAGCAGATGTGATGTCAGTCTGCTGTGTAAAGATGCTGGCCAGAGCATCATTCATCAATGGAGAAGATTCATAAGACGTTGGGCTCTGGAGCCAGACAACCTGTGTTCAAATCTGCCCCCTTAGAGCTGTGTGATCCTGAGACATTACATAACCTTTGAGTCTTGGTTTCCCATTTCAACAACGCCATTCTCTTTTTGTAGGATAAATCTAATGATATTATCAACCAAACAACTTTGCAAAGTAAAAAATTTTGTGCTGAATTAGGTGGCTTGTCATAGGGACTCAGACATTTTAACCAAGAAGGTACAAAATTGGTTGAAGAGTCTGTGAAACAATATGATAAACTGAGTAGCAACCTGGACAAAACATCTCAAGAGACTGATCAGAGATG